GTGACGCCCAAAGGATGGGCATATTGCTAGACTGGCAAGCTTTTGAATTAGAGGTATATATGACATTTTAGGCAATCTTAGGCATATGGACGCGCGATTTGGACACTATAATGGTATATACCAAGAAACAAATTTTCTAGGTCTGTTAGGTCGAGCAAACAATAGGTGTCATGAGCTTGAATTGTCATTGTATGCTTGGCCTAACAGACCTCACAGATGTGTCCGTCGGGCTACACCTTTATTAAGTCTAGAACGTGTGTATCATATAACCTTGTGTTCTGTCTTACATTTCATTTTTCTTTCATTTTTGGATGTGAAAATTGCCGAAAGTGTTATTATATGTACCTTATTCATGAGCTTACCAACCTAAATGCTTGTCAGTCCTTTTCTTTGATCTGCCCTTATCAGCTGCCCGATCCGTTATGAGAGTCACATCTCCTACTTTTTTTTGGGACCAAGTTCTAAAATTATTACAAAGCTAAAGAATTAGAAATTAAGTAACGAGATATGAATGAGAAACAATATAATATTCATATTTGAAGATAGTTATCAACATCACTAGTGATATATTGTTGTTAGCAAGAACAAACCTAAATGCTTTTGAATTTAGACATTTGCCACAAGCTAACAACTTTTGCAGTAGAATCATATGTATTCATTCATCCTTAATCAGAGGGTCTAGGGTTCGAGCATTAGATATGAAGTTACCTTTGATAGAAAATGCTACATATACTCCCAAATGAGATTTTTCGACACCAATTCAGATTAATAGGATTCCAAAGCAATTAATACCGAATACCAATTAAAAAACCAACCAAAAAAATAAAGAAGTTTGACATTTGCCACTAGAGCAAGGACTCATTGGCTTATTCCTCCTTAAGATCCAGAAATAAAAAGTAAAATCAAGAGATAAATTACCTATCAATTTAATTCCTTTTGGCTCATTTATTACTTTTTTATCCATCTCTTTTGATGTCAATTAGCCTCAACCATTGGTTCCTTTGACAGCATAATTCTACCAAATATATCCTACAACAATATTGAAATATAATCCTCTAAGTTGTAACACCTAAAATAAGATTTGAAATTAGATTAAGGTCTTATTTGTTTTGTTTTTTTTTAAGATTAAAACATCTGAATCTGAATACACATCTGAACATACTAAGATGTGTATTAAGATCTGAATACTAATTAATTAAGACTATTTGATTTTTAACATCTGAATGTATAAAATTTATCTTTATTTAAAAATTAATAAACATAAAATTCAAATAAAATATTAACTAATTTAATATTCTATCAATAAAGTATATAATTTTTTAAAATATGATAGTTGTTGGTGGTGATGGCTAACAGGTGAATACCAACTAGAGGCGGTAATTGGTGGTAGTTTTGGTTGATGATGGTGGTTCATGATAGTAGCTAATAGTGATTGGTAGCGGTGACGATTATGATTGAGGATGNTTGTGGTAGTTGAGGTGGATGACTGTTGATTGTGGGTGAGAATGATGGTGGTCGGAGTGGTGGGTAGGGATGTACAAACCGAACCGGAAAACCGCATCAAATCGAAAAGTCAAACCGAACCGATTAAAAAATCCGACTAGGTTTGGTTTGATTTGGTTTGGTATTGAGTAAAAAAAAAATCTGAACCAAACAGACATATAAATATATAATTTTTATATATACTTTTAAGATTTTATATAGAATTTTCTTTAAAAAAATGTCTAGAATATTTGCGATTCTCTTGCGGGATATAATATTTAATAGTATATGAAGTGCTCCATATTTATTAACCTTAAATAAAGGGTTGTACGATCATTTTCTCATCAAGTATTATTGAAATGAGTCAATCTCTTTGTTCTTCCATATTCATATCATATGTTAAGATCTATTAAATCATTATATCTTTTCGGATGTGAAGTGATTATTATGATTTAGGTATCATATTGATTTTTATGTTTAATTACTAAATTCGGTTAACTTTGAAAGTGTGCATCAACGAAACATTATTGTCGGACGACTAAAAAAATAACTATTATGTGTTACTAAGAAAAATCTCTCATAAGAATATTTTAATAGATAATATATTTGTCAATTTTTTTTATATTTTTACTAAACATATATTTACTTATCAAAAATTTAACAAAGTAAGATTGAAATAATATTTAAGTAACAAAAAACCCGAAAACCCCGAAAAATCCGCCAAAATCGAACCAATCCAAACCGATATAGTTGGTTTGGTTTGGTTTTGATAAAATTCCGAACCAACCCAGTCCATGTACAACCCTAGTGGTGGGGATAGTGAGTGGTGATGGTCGATAATGGTGGCGGCTATGATTGAGGATGATGGTGGCGTGGTGGTGGTGGAGGTGGTGGTGGGGGGTGAGGGTGGTGGTGGCATGATGGTAGTTGACAATGGTAGACTGTGATGGCAGTTAATAATGAGTATGTGATAGCATCTTAATGAAATTAAATCTCAGTTATAGATCTTAATCATACAGACCTATTCAGACTCATTAAGTTATTGTGAAGTAAAAAAAAACAAACACACATAATGATTAAAATTTGAATAATTAAGATTCAGACTTAAAAAACAAATACACTTAATGTCTGAGATCTGAATGGTTAAACTTCAGACATTCATTAAGTGCAAACAAATAAGGTGTAAGCATGAAACTCTTATGTTAAAATTCACACCTATCGTTACATATCTATTTTCTCATTTTCAAAATGCAAATGGAAACTCTTAAGTTAAAATTCCGAGAAACGGAAAAATTATAGGTGTAAGCATGCAAAATTTATTGAATTTAAATTCAATAAAATAATTTGGATTATATTGAAATATATTAGTCCAAATAAATATTGTGGGTTAATATAATTGGATTAATTGCTTAAGTCCAATAAATATTGATTGGGCTAGCCCATTTGGTTGGGTTACAAATGATGAACCCACTTTATTAGGCCCAATATATCATCTTCCTAGAGGCCCAGTTTGGTGTCACGTGTCAAATGACGTGGCACGCCAAGTCAAACGGAAGAGCCAATGGGATCATGCCATGTGTCAAAATAACAAGGCATGCCAAGTCACACTAAAAGGCCAATGAAATCGGGCCATGTGTGCAAGTGACATGTTCTGACCAATCAAATGCGGCTATGTCACACTTCAATTTGATTGGTCGGAAAGAGTTTGTTCTTATCACAACTCCTCCCTTCCACAACTCTAAATAGGGGTTTTCATAACTCAAAAAAGAGACCAGAAGTTATAACAAGAAGCAAGAGAGAGCTCGTGGATCAAACACCACAAATTTCTCTACAAGTTTCAAGTTTCAAGCAATCAAGTTCAAGTTCAAGCACAAGAACGAAGAACAAATCAATGTCAAGTAGAAGCAATCAAGCTAAAGCTCAAGAACAAGATCATTGTTCGTGGCGACAACTACATATTCAAGTTCAAGCTCAAAGGCCCTTGAATTTATTTACTATTGAGAAGAAGAATCAGAGGAATCATAGAGATTGTGCACTCAAATATTTGAAATAAAACACTACGATTGTTACGATATTTTTCGGTCTTGATTTTATTTTCTCGACAAAATTTATTATCTATAATAGGTCTGACAAAAAAAGGAAAACCCCTACTTACTTAGGGTGTGCCATGTTAATTATGTTACTTAATTGCGTGTTAATTCAAATTCTATTTGGCAGTCAAATTTGCCACTATGCTCGAGTGGAATAATTTGTATTAATAGCGAAATCCCCTGTCTCATTTCTTAAATAATGACCAATGAATTAAATTAGTTCAATTTTTATACACTAATAATAGTAATAATTTTTACATCATCAAGTTAAGTTAAATTACAACAAGAGTTAATTTCTTATAACAAGTACAAGAAGATAACTTGAAAGGAGAATAATAATGTGTTATAGCTAGTCAAATTATACTAGTACGTAATAACATAAATTTTTTTATATTATCAATGTTTATAATTTATTTAATTAAAATAAATAAAGAAAAAGGGGAAGAAATGTTGGTGCTGACATGTAAATGCGTCTTGAAACCAAATTATCTTTATATGAACGTGGCATCAGATTAAACCCTTAAAATCTACTATTTCAAAATAAACCTCTTATCCTCTAAACCAAAGCCAAATTGAACTGTTTTTTTTTTTTTTCAACTTCTTTCCTAAGACATAATTAAGTAAATAAGAATATGTTCTATCAAATAGCTTAAATATTTAATATAATACGAGAGCTGAAGGAATCCTGAGTTCAAATCTTACAACCACTCATTATAAAAAGAAAGTTTCACGCATACTTGACTCATAAAAAAGAATCAACTCCAATCGAAGAAGTCTATTGTGAAAACATAACTAAGTAAATAAAATTTAACTCTTTCTTACGACTTAAAACTTTTAAATAAAATGATCACACACTCTTCCACACTCCTAAAACCTATGTGGAAAAAATTCACTACTAAAAAAAATAGAAATTGACGACTGATAAAATCTGTAACTAAACAGAAAAATCTTGTTAGCGACGGATTAGCGTCACATTATCTAAAAATGTTGTTAGCTACGAGCTTGTTACACAAATAACCGGTCAAATTCATTATTTACTTTTTTAGCCAGTAAACATAGATTATACACAATTATACACATATTACATACATACTCAAAGAGAGAGAGGGGACACACACACACACACACACACATATATATATATATATATATATATATATATATATATATATATATATATATATATATAAGAGATTAAGTGTGCAGCTATTTGGGCTAATTAGATTATTGATGAATTTTCTAGCTTATTTCAAGTTTTTTAAGTGATTGGTCAAAAAGTTTGAAGATGATAACAAGATTTTTAACATTTTCTTGAGTAATATAGGTGCTTCTAGTCCACTTAATGACAAAAAATAAAACTCCCAAATGGAAAAAAGAGAAGAAGAATGGAAGAGAAATGAGAGGTCTGAAATTGCCAGCCTTACATTCTTGAGTACAAACAAGAAAATATATGCTAAAAGCTCTTAGGCTATGGGTTGGATTGTGTATTACCTTATCCTATCTCCAACAAAAATAAAATAAAACCCCTTCTTCTTATTTTTTTCCTATTTCTCTCTTTTCCTATATCCTCTTAGTTATACTCTCAAGAACAACAAAGTGAAAAGAAAAAAAAAACAATGAATTTTCATTCATAATATCCTTCTTATCTTGCTTCTTTTTAAGTTCTCTTCTACCAATAAAACCCTTCCATTTGCATTTTCTTGATATATATGAAGATGGATTTTCATTATTCTTATTCTTCCTCATGTGAATATATGGGCATTTGAAATTCTTTATTTATTGCTAGTGTTATTCATTTTATTGAAGAAGAATTCGAACACGCCGCGTTTTACTGGGAAGTTTGAGGAAGAGAAATAATGGCTCCCAAAACAGGAAAAGCTAAGCCACACAAAGCTAAGGGGGAGAAGAAGAAGAAAGAAGAGAAAGGTACCTTATCTTTTTCTTATTATCTTGAATATATTTTCATGGCTTTTTCCCTCTGTCTTTTCCAATTTTTCAAAATTTTAATAAATAACTCAAATAAATTATTGTTTAATAAGTTTCTATATTAGTCATGTTTCTAACTTTTTATGTCTTCTCTTTCTGTTTAAATGTAGTTTGCAGTAAAATTGCAACATTTTTAATATATTTGATGTAGGTGGTTCAATAACAACAATTTTCAATTCAATTACACTTGCACTCCTAATTTATGATTATAATAATTTTTAAACTTTTTCCTCGTGTCCACCACGTTAATTTAAAACATTACTCCAATTCAAGTATTCTAATCACTTCAAAAATTTACCTACCATTGTACCACATACCAACTTTTTATAAGAGTTTAGGTTATACGTACTGATTGTGTAAAAATATGTACAAAAATAAGTTTTTTATTACGAATATTTATAATAAACATTAATTAGTACTACGTAAAAATGATAACTCGATTGTTATTACTTGTTAAATTACATTAATCGTAAAACATCTTTATTTTCTGTGTATGTAATTTAATATCGAAAAGAAATCATTGTTTATGCAAAGAATATAGTAGGAATATTTTTTTATTTTTTTTTAGCATTTTATTTTATAACTTGCCTAATGTTAATTTTTGAATTACAGTTCTGCCTAACGTTATAGAGATAACGGTGGGAACACCTGAAGATTCGCAAGTGTTGCTTAAGGTAAAGTTACAGTTACAGTTACCGTTAATTTTTAACGGTAGTTCGTTGAAGAAACGAAAAGAAAATTAACGGTAGTTAGAAGAAATGATATGGTGCATGTATATGACTTTGGTAAATTTTACAATCGTTGACTTTAGGGAATATCAACGGACAAGATTTTAGATGTGAGAAAGCTCTTAGCCGTCAATGTGGAGACATGTCACGTGACCAATTACTCCATGTCACATGAGGTAACATTTATAATTTATTTCCTTTTTTGTACCCTAAAATTAGATATTTCATGTCATTTTCATCTTCCATTCAAAATGTAATTCATTTTTTGAAAAAAATATACAAAAGACAAAAAAGTTACTTTATCATGTGGGCTCTTAGCCATTTAATTGTAAAAACAAGTTTGCCAGAGTTAAATAAAAAAAATTATTTGTATAATTAGCTTCAATTTATTACAAGTTAAAATTAGAAAAAAATGATATATGTAAAAAGATTATTATGAGATAAGTGGTTAAAATGTAATTGTGCTTATTTAAATCGTAATTTTATTCAAATAAAAGGCATGGTATTTAGTTTACTGTTTTAGGTATCAGTACGACTGCAGTATGACTTTCAACAACTGCTTTAATTAGTATATTTGATCATATTTCAAATGGTTAGTATTTGATTATATTATACTACGTTGCTTATCATACTTTCTAAGTAAGCAATACTATATTACTATTAAATAATTATATTTGTAATTAATTTTTACTTAATATGATAAATTTTAAAAAATTAAAAAGTTAAAACTCTTTTTTATAGATATATAGAAAATAATGGTGGCATTTTGGAATGGGACAGGTGCGAGGAACAAGGCTAAAAGATACAGTGGAGATTGTGTCGCTCAAACCTTGCCACCTCAGCCTGGTCGAAGGTACTGTTCTCTATGCTCTCGGTCCCACCTGATATAT